CTTCCTCGATATGGAGAGCGAGGACCCTGGGTGCATTGTGTGACGTGTTAAAAAATGACTGCTGGCAAACGAGAACAACCAGAGTTAAGTGCCAGCCCTGCTTATTCTATTTAGAATGAACCAAGGTCGACGTGAAAACTTAAAAAAGCTTTCGTACGTGTTCTATTTTGATCAATCGTTTTCAGTTGGTTGTGTTGGTTAGGTTTTTTACGTATTCTACCGGAAGCAAACCGTTTGAGGTGTGGTGTTTAATGGTGGAAAACTCTTGGGTAGCGGCCGTTATATTGTATATATGGTAGACTGGTAGGATGCCCTAATTATTAGCGCTGCAGGACGCGCGTTTCTCCGCCCGCGGGAAGATTGGAGACGAGTCGGGAAGAGATTTGCCGGGTGGCGTTACTCTTAGCCTCATACTTTCATGCGGGTGAAGAAACACTCGTGTCAAAGCGTCAATCATGAAAGCCTATTCGCACGCTATTTACGAGGGCTTAAAGAAGTCAAGCGCTTGCTTCAGTTCCTGGCCGTCATGCTCGCTGTAAAAATCTTACTCATGCTCTTTCGCTACGCTAACCAAACCGGCAAAAAATCATCGAAAATCGCGCCACGAGACAGTGATTGACTGCTTCGTTGTCTTCCTTCAGTCTTGTGAATGCGTAGAAGTATGGCAATAACAATTCCAAGAAATTACCGTGTCTCAGTCATAAAGGATTGCAATTGAAACGGTTGATCCCGATAGAACACAACCTTCCTGTCACATGATAGCAACCGGGAAAGTTTCCTAATCTTACTTTCACAAAGCACACCTCTTACGTGGGTTGATCAGCGTGTGCCAGATTATATTTAAACAAGCAGCACCAGAGCTACCAATGAAAGCAGGAGAGAGCCAACGAAGAAAGGCCTCTTACTTTCGGCAGCTGAAATAGGAACTGTGGTAGCTGAAACAGGAACTGTGGTAGCTGCAACACAATCGTTGATCGCTGCGATATCGCCCATGTACTCTGCACCAAGAAACTGTTCATAGGTCTGAGAAGAGACATTTTGTAGCTT